GGGAGTCATTTACAACTATCTTAGAGTTGCAAATTAAGACAATGCAATGTTCAGGTTGGATTAATAGGTTCTTCAAAATTTGTCAAGAAAGCCAGATAAATACATTAAGCAGGATATCTATTTGACACCCCTGAGCTGGAAATTTCTTTAATTCTAAAGAAAGCTCCACTAAATAAGACGAGCAGAAAGAAAATGCATGCATTTTCTCCATCAGTACATCTATATCATGCATATTACCATACTGTTTTAGTGCTTACAGTGTGCCTTCAAAACTGACAACCCAGCATCTCTAACCAGCATTAAATTCTCTTTGCAAATTAAAATATCAAAAGAAAGGAAGAAGTAATAGGCAAACAAGAATGCCATCCCCCACCCCCAAACAAAAGGAGGATATAAAAAATGCAGTATAAAAAATCTACTAAAACTGTAAAACCATATTTGAAATGCTTCCTTTTGAGAATATTTATCATGTGGATTATTTACCTAAGAGTTGTTTGGAGAGAACTACATTTCCCCATTACACGCTGAATTAATTTCTGAGAACAGTATTTACATGACAGACCACACAGCCTCTGCACCCAGAGCCAATGTAAATTGCCATTTATACAGCAAAGTTCAAATGGAAAAAAAGAACAGTGTTACCATATTCTTCTTAAGACTATCTACCGTAGAGAATATTTAACTTCCCTGCTTGTCAGACCTCCAAGTAGAGATGTCTCCCCCCTCGTTCCACTTCCACGTGCAGAACCACATTCTAAGTAAAGGAAGCAGAAAAAGGAAAATCTGATCCTGAAAGACCTCAGCGAGGAGAAAATGGAAAACAAAACCTTGGCATGCTGCTTTTTTGTTTGTCATTGTGTTATACTGTATATGGCTATGATTTTTCTTTTTGAGTCTCTGTGTGTGCTGAGGCTCGTGACTGTGAGGCAGCTCAAGATAAGGAATGCTGCAGAAGGAAAGAAATGTTTCTGCCTGCGGATGAGGTTTTTATATTTGTTCTTTGGCATTGTAGTTGATCTAGAACAAAATTCATTGGGGCTAGAAAAGGTTCACTGCTTGTTTTCTAAACACCAGTGAAAATCTGTCCAGCACGGTGAAGCAATTCTGCCCATGGTCATTCCCTTCAGGTCGTCCCAGTGTAAATGCCTGACACATGTCAACCTGATAAAAGAGCTGGAGGTTTGCTGAAATGTGGCTGATCTGTGTAATGGCTGCAAAGCCTAGAAGGGTACCGGGAGAGCTCGGGAGGCTGAGGTTAGAGGCCTGGAAGGAGGTGGCCGAGGAAGTCCTGGGTCGTCAGGTCCAGAACCCTTCCATGAGCAGCTTTAAAACTAGCTAGGTTTCAGGTGTGCTGTGGCATACCTGATCCAGAGAAAGGTGAATGTTGTTCAGCTCGCAGGGCGAGCTCCACTAGTGGGGGCTGACGGTCGCTGCCCTTAGGGAGTTGAAGGACCACCACACTGCGCTGTGGACATAATGAAATGGCTGTTGATAATTGCATCTGGTGACACGGGTTGTTATTTCTTCCCTTCACCTCTGGTGGGTCTGGTCTGGTGTCTAATCAGTATTATCTAGGGCAGAGGGGACAATCTCACTTTAGATCATGAGAAAAGGAGTTTGCTGGGAACGTCTTGAAAGAGTAGGTTATTGCCAACTAGCTAATTTGGAGAAACCACTTTGAAAATGTAAATGGCTGTGTAGTATTATCTCGTATGCATGCAAGCTGGAAGGGCTGCAGCTGGGGACACTCTGGAGGTAGCAAACAGTTGAGTAGGAAGGCAATAGTACAAGTGTCCGGCTAGATTTGATTTTTCTGCACAGTGTTTTTTGGGATGTCCGTGGTCGGAGGGGAAGGTGGGCCTCTGCGCAGCACCAGCTTCTCTTTCTTCAGTCTTGAGGGTCTATCCTAGGAACCATTTTTCTGCCATGGTACGGCTGATGGTGGAAGCTGTGCTTTTTGTTTTTTTAACCACCAGATCATCTAAAAGAAGGAATTTGATCAATATTTGAGAACATGTGAAGGGTCACATTTTTCTTTATTTGGGTGCCCCACAGCTGCCTGATAAGTGGTTTAAGGTGCAAGTGCCAAGGAAGTGCCTGCACTACAGTTCTTGCTGTAGACCGCTAGCACTGGGGCAGCAGAGGTAGCAGGGAGACACCCGCACAAGCCTCTCCCTTCGAAGACATCTCCTAAATGACAGGCGTGCACAAAACCTCCTGTTCTACCTCTCGAGCTAACTAAGGGTTGTCAGCCCAGATTGCATTTCTGCTTGATAGCTTCATTGGGCATAACTATGTCAGGACCCATGTGCCGGCTCATCTAATGACCGTGGAGCGGGAGACTCGACCCACTCGGGAGGATTCACGGAGCTGAATGGTGCCCAGATGCTGTGAAACCTCAGCCCAGAGATTTGGACATCTTTGCTTGGGGTCCTGAACAGCCCTGCATGCATCCTGTACAGCGGCTGCTTCTGTCCCGGACTGTCCCCATTCCTGTCTTCTCCTTGTGCCCCTATCTGGGGCCATGGCAGCGCCCTGGGCCCCAGGGGCAGGCAGAGGGAGCCCTTCTCCCTGAGGACATGGCCCCAGTCAGTGTGGGGAGACCTCCGCCATCATCCCCTGAGGAGACGGCCCCAGTCAGTGTGGGGAGACCCCTGCCATCATCCCCTCATGGGAGCGCCCCAGTCAGTGTGGGGAGACTCCCGCCATCATGCCCTGAGGAGAGGGCTCCAGTCAGTGTGGGGAGACTCCCGCCATCATGCCCTGAGGAGAGGGCTCCAGTCAGTGTGGGGATACCCCTGCCATCATCCCCTCAGAGGAGGGCCACAGTTAGTGTGGGAACAGCTCCCCTCCCTGCTGCACCCCAAGGAGACAGGCAGCCGGCAGCGCAGGCTCAGGCCTTGCGCCCTGAGGTGGTGGGGCTGCTGAGCTGGGGGGAAATGGGGGTCGTGCCATGAGCGATGGCCTGAGCCTGGCCCACCCCTGCCCCATGCAGGGCACTCAGCCAGGACAGGCCGCCACTGCAGGGCCAGGCCTGAGGACCCACCGTGAGGGGTCAGTGCCCCCCCGCATGCGCTGCCTTGTCTGCAGTGCGGTGCAGTGCGTGGAGCCTGTGGGCGGCAGGGTCGAGCTTGGCCAGGGACTGGCGGCAACCCTGCTGAGGGGAGAGCGCTGGGCTGGGCTTTGAGGCACAGGCCCTCCACAAAGTGGCGGCTGTGGGCTGGGAAAGGCTGTGGCTCATGTCTCCAGCAGCCTTCGCCAGTCGGGGCCTGCTGCTCTGCTCCAGAAACCCAAGGGGAGGCCTGTGGCCTGAGCGCCCTTGGGGCTGTGATGCGGGTTGGCGGGGTCCATCATGACACCAGCTTGTGCCGACCTGGTTGGTGACTCAGCCACTCAAACAGACACCAAAAATTAGTAGCGAAGGGGCCTCAGAGACCTGAACAAGCTTACTTCTGCTTCAATGAATAATTGCATGTATTTCCATTTTAAAGTTTGTCTGCAGTTTTAGTCTTCAGCAAGGTTATGGTTCAAAATCACTTGTCAAGCACACTGGATCATGTATATCCAGCTCTAGGTCTCACAGACATCACTATTTGCATCACTTTTAGGCACAAGACATTTGCATAAAAGCGCTTCTAGTCCAACTGGTGTTTTTATCCAAACTGATGGTCCCTAATGCATTGAATACATGACTGTGGCCAGGGAGCCTGGTGAAAGCACATTTGTCTGATAACCTGAATATTCAGTAAGAGTCAGTAAATTAATTTGCTGATATGTTACTAGCTTTTAGAAATGGTGTGGAGGCACAAGCAGAAACTGATACCATAACAGAGCGTGTAGGGATCTCTGAATTGTATGTGTGTCAAGCGGCCAAGTAATCTTCTTGGAGCCGGATACTGATTTCAGTAATGCCATTACATAATGGAGTTAATCCTCATTTTCACAGCTGAGAGAGAGAACCAAGCGGGTTACACTTCGTCCAGGTCCTGATTTCTCTCATCTTAGAAAGAAAACACAAAAGAAAAGACACAGCTGTACTCCACAACTTATACTTATTTTCTATCCAACGCCAGATGTGTTTCAAGGCTCTAGTATTAATTTACAAAGACCTCATTAGAATAGGGCCATAGTATTTGAAACACTGACTCTGTGACATCAACAAACACGACTGTGACCACTGTACATGTAACGTTTATCAGTCAGACAGGCCCAGTGAGCAGGGCCTCTTCATCAGACCCCGTTTGCCATAGCATCACCCAACATAAAAATGCAAAAAAAAAGGCCAATACAACTTCTAGAAATTGTAGCCTGTGTCTAAAGCAGGAGTAGGATGAAGAACTAATATTACGGGGATTATGATAATCCTCATGTAGGATGCAAAACTGAATGGCCTTTCTGCAACTACCTTTGTGCCTTCTTGTTTCTGTTCAGTGCATGGATACCAGTACTAGAAATGGTGACAGATACTACAGCTCTAAAAGTGTTTATAGTTGGATAGTGGAGGAGATGACTGACATGGCCTAAATGGCAGGTGGGAGAGATTACTTTATCTGTAGGGTTTTGAACACTGGACAGGATTGAAAGGGAGGCAGGCAAGGCAGGTAGGAAGAGTCTGCATTAATCAAGAAAACAGATGACCAAAGCAGTGACAAGCATTTGGATGAAAGAATGAATTATTTTAGGTATTGGCATGAGAGAATTGACAGGATTTGGAGATACAGCTAGGAGACAGAGGGAGAGTGTGGCGTTGACTGACACTTGGGTTGCAGCCCATATGATGGGGACCATAGTCTGCAATGATGGTGATTTTGAAAAGAGATGTTAAAAATAATTTGTTATCAGAAACAAATTAAATCAAATGTTACCTACTCACGCTGGTTTTGGGATGAGTTAGGTTGCCTCAGCCTAGTTTTTGTGTGACAAACCTGAATGCTCAGCAGAATGCACTTGTCTCCTCAGGGAACAATAACATACTCTGCTGCTCAGTACACGTGAATATTGTGGTGCCCTTCAACGCAATGAATTCAGCCGTGGAAGTATTTGGTTTGAATTGCTTCCATGGCTACACATAACTTCTAAGAAAACCAAAGCCTCCTTATCTTACAGGCATCATACACACACTATAAGCTATGTTGGCAAACCACAAATAAGCATAGGCTTCCCAAACCCTAACTGAAGCCCTAGAAACAGAACAGTTATTTAACAGACCAGACAAACCAGTGCGTTTGAAAGTTTTACAGTAGGCAGATAAAAATTAGCATAAATACAATTAGCAGGCCACACTTGCATGTACCCACAGCACTTGATCTCCTTTTACTGTAGTGCTTTAGTGCCAGTTTAATGGAACTATAGCTGTTGAAATGTGTGTCATCTGGTTCCTGCAGATACTTGTATATTTATCTGAAGAAAAAATAATTGATGGCAGTCTTCATGTATTTTCTTTCATTTTTAACAGATAAGCATAAGAAATGAATTTTAATGTTTGTAATATCAAAGAGATGTTCAGCACTCCCACAGCCACTGGGTAAGTGGTTTTTGTTTTTGTTTTCACATTTATAATGCTCAAATAATCAGGACAGCCTACTGGCTATATTTAACTAAAAAAGATAGCTGCTATTTGTAGTGAAGGATAGCTAAAGAGCCCTGTACAGAACAAAGTCAAATAACTGGAAACATCATGTCTGCTGACACATCTTAATGCTCATGGCATATTTATTCCAGAGGTCATTAGCAGATTTCTAGTTAAAGGGCTGTTATGAATTCTATTTGCCATGGTATGTCATTACAACTTGACTTTGGCTATTAAGTCTGAGACCTTTATAAAAACCGCAAGTCTAACATATGTGCACTTAGAGCTACAGTAACATGGACCAGATACTGTATTCTAGTCTTCCTTGAGGAAACATTTTAAATATGCATAAGATGTTTTACTCCCAGCCTTTGTGTATGTAACCTATGTGATTTCCCCTGTGCTGTTTACACTATAGACTGAGAGCATATTAAGTAAAAAGGCCTCAGTGATGAATAAAAACCGTCTGTTTAAAGGATTTCAATCGTAGTGGTAAATGCCAGAAGTCTAATGCTGTCCATATTAAAATATCCTTGGGATTACTAAAATTCAGAGGTAGTTTCTTGACTTAAAAACAGTAGTATCCAGTATGGGGGAATTCTATATTAAATCTCATCTTGTTAAATAAAAAGAACTGATTCCAGAAGTAAAATCAGTGGTTGTTTAGGTACAAGCAATCATGACTTCATTACTTTTTATATGCAAATGGAATGAAGTTCAAAGCACTAATATATGGAAAATGTATTTAACAGTGAGAGAACTTTAAATGGTCAATTTCCTAGCACTGAAAACAGTTATAAACCAATTCAGCTGAAAAAAATGAGTTTGAGCAGAATCATCTGAATGATAATTGGGACCTATTTAGGAACATTTTACTAATGTTCAAAAATCCACAATTAAGATTGTTTAAAAATAGAAACTCTGAAAGACAGAAGATTGATAAGGGAAGCAGAAGGTTAGAAGCCATCCTCATGCCTGTAGCACAACTGCCAAGGCTGGGTCAACTGCATCCCCACTTTGAACCGGCTGGGTTGAGGTCAGGAAGCTGTATTTTTGGCGTTGTGCTCCAAGGCAAAGCATAGGAGGTGTTTGAAAGGACTGGCACAGTGCCAGAGAGAAAATATGCCTCTTGCAAGGATACTCTTCAGCTGTCTGTACACCAGACTACAGACCCTGAATGGAGCCAAGAGGCCTTCCAGAACCAGAAAAAAAGGCAAAGAAGGATTTGTCAGAGATTTTCTGGCATGCCCTCTGACTTCTGGTCACTAAGGACGGCCATCCCAAGATTCTAGAAATCAAATGTGGGACTGATTTGTGACTGATGCAGCTGGAGATGACATCTGGATGGAAAGAGCAGAAAGAGGCCATGAGGATTGCTTCAGAGTTGGAACTATCTCTACAATCTGCAGGAGGAAGCATTTATAAAGAAATGGCCTCATGAAGCATCAGGAATGTAAACCCAGAAGGGGCCTCCTAGGCCATCACGTCCTGTCCCCTGCACTCACAGGCATTGCTAACTGAAGGAATTCCCAGTGTCAGTGTCTCAAACCCTTACCCAAAACTATGAGGAACAATATCCAAAACACCAAAAAACACCCTACAAGTTTTTGCAGGTTGAAACAGGAAATACAGCAAGGCTCTGGGAAAAGAAGGAAGAGTGTAAGGCAGGCTAAACCTGCATGCTGCATAAGTGTGAGAGAGGAGATGTCATGCAGGAATTGTGCTGAGGAGTGTCTCATCACCTTGAGCAGCCTGAATCTGATGGGAAATTCCCTCAATAGCCACTGGAGCACAGAGGCTGACACAGCACTGGATTGACTCGAGAGATGCCGCACTGGTGATAGTTCCTTATCCACCATGAGGCAGAATTCAGCAAATAGCTTCAATGGATGAAGAGGAACAACATCTAACCTTCCACGAGCCCCTGGGCTCCATGCGTCATTTTGGCAAAAAAGAAAGATGGAGGGACAAGGGTATGTGTGGTCTATTGGCTAGTGGATGATGTTCCTGGGAGAGATGCTTCTTCTTGCCTAGGATTTATCAGATGCTAGACTTGCTGGAGGAGGTCTGATGGTTCTCCACTCTGGATGTGGCCTGGCTACTGGCAAGTAAAGGTGCACACTAAGGAGTGACAGAAGAAGGCCTTCGCCACCAAACCAGCTTGATTTGAGGTTAATGTTAGGTCCTTTTTACTCTAATAGTCCTGAAATATTCCAGAAGTTGGTGGATGTCAAGCTGGCCATCTGAGGGGTACTTCTTGTTTTGTGTATCCTGATGAAATGCAGTAAAAATGCTTTATTTCTGCAATAAACTATCTGGAGCATGTGATCTCATGCGCTGGGATAGGGACAGACCCTGTAAAGGTGGAAAACATCCAGCCCTGACTGGTGCCCTACTCTCTCCATGAGATGCAGAGTTACTTTGGCTTGGCCTCGTACCTTCAGAGATTGATTGCTGATATTGTCACAATTGCATAGCCCTTGAACAAGCTGGAAGAAGAATGGATATTTTAGTGGACTGTCTCAAACCAAGAAGTATTGCTGGAACTACAGTGTAAGTTCATGTCTGTATCAGTCCTGGCCTGTTAAGGGTTGTGATATGTTCTCCACTGCAGAAAATTTCCAAACTGAGATCGTATGTTTTTCTAAAAGATATGCTGAGATTCAAATATAAATTAGTTAAGAAAAGTTCTCCAGCCTGTTTTATGCAGGAGGTCAGACTCAATGAGCAAAATGGTCCCTTCTGACTTTATAATCTATGAATACACGAGAGAAATCATGATGTTCAGAATAATAATACACATTATGTAACCCTATAACTTATTCCATATGTTATACTTGTATGCATGGCAGGCTTTCCAGTATGAGTCAGAGAATCAGATAGAACTCACCACATCCTAAATATTATTCAGTTGTAAGCATCCAGAGAGTGAAAACCTACAAACTGCTACATTGTTCTGTCAACAAAATACCATCCCCAGTCCCACGTCACTAATATATTGAGCCCTGTGCATCCCTTGTGTAACTCTGCTACAGCCTAATGCTGAATTAGGCCTTTTGAGTTTATGCTATTTAAATTCATCTTTACAACTGTCATGAAAATTCACCAGTTTATGCACAAAATCTCCTTAGTCACAAATTCAAATGAAGATGAGTGATAGCATCAAACTAATAATAGTTTATTTGGCCATGAAAAAAATCCAACATAGGCGTGAATTGAGTTTTGCAAGGGTGAAGGTGTTAAAGAGGAGATAATTCAGAGGACAGCAGTTTACATTTGCCTAGTATGACTCTAGCTACAGAATGTTGACTTGTTCTTTTTTGTCCACAGTCCTTCTTTTAATTATTATTGTTCAAGACAGAGTTGGATGTCCATCCTGCAATGGCCACAGGCAGCTGTGGGCAGCTGACTGCTGGTGTCCCACCTGTGCAGTACGTTGGTGGAGAATGACTTACTGTGACTCATGACTTCTGCTGCTCGGGTGGTACGCTGACAGATCTAGCTAGTATTGAGGGGGGAGTTGTTTCCCACATTCTTGAAGAAAATGCAGCCTTTGGCAAACTAACAGGATGGGTTTGGAGGCAATGATGAGTCAAGATCTCCACAAAAGTCCTCTCTGCCTGTCCTTTCACTGATAAAGTGAACCCTTGCTCACAAAAGCTTATGCATCTCTTGATTCAGTTAGTCTATAAGGTGCATCTCTACCCTGCCTAACTTCAGACTAACACGGCTAATTTCCTGTCTGCCCAGAAGTGAAGGTTTGTATACCTGTGGGTCTTGCTGTTCTGCTTTATGGGTGTGAAACCTGGACCTTGCACAGATGACACTTGAGGCAGCTGGAGAAATCTGCCCACATTTCTTGCTTTTCATCCTGAAGGTCAGATCATGTGACTGAGCATCTAGTGCTAAGTTGCTGGAATCAGTGTATTGCTACAGCATCGGAGCACTGATAATGAAGGTACAACTTTGTTAGGATGGCTGTTACATGCGTGGATATTGAGCACCTATCTATGCAGCTGCTGTATGGAGAACTGGAATGCAATCAGCAAAGCAAGGCCATCTGAAGAAGCATTTTGCAGACCTACTGAAGTTCCTTGTTCATAGCAGGACACCACCTGACCAGTGGGCCTTGCTGGCTGGGGTTATACAGTGGTGGTGTGGCAGGTAGGGGTAGCTGAGCTCTGTGAAAAGCAGTGCAGTGCCAGTATGCAAGAAAAAGGCACCCGGCTTAAGGAGTGACATCTACCAAAGTCATGGGACTGTGAATGGCGTTGCAGTGAATATGGCTGGAGCTTTGTTGCAAATTGGAATAGTGAGTCATATGCACAGTTAGCATCCTGCTAGGAACCTTTTTACTGATACCTCTTCAAGCTGAGACTGTTAGTTTGATTGTCCCTAGATGCTGTGACTGGCTCATCCCTACATCCAGGGGACTGCTGGCAGCAGTGACAATGGTCACTTAAGGAACAGAACCATATCTTCAGCTGGTGTAAATTAATGCCATGCCATTCAGTTTAATTCAGTTATGCTGATTTACATGAGCTGAGAGGGGATTTTAGGAAGCTGATAATTACTGATTTTATAACCCTTCTCATTATTCATGGGCTAATTATCTCTAACCCTATTTATTCCCATTGCAGCAATTACTATTTAAAAGCATATGAAGTCCATGCACAGTAAAAATTAAGAGCTGAGGCATATTTTGTATGCAGGAAATGTCTGTGAGAGGGTTAAGAACCTCCATGAGTGTCTGCTCAGTTTGCTACAGGTCATGCCATCCTGCAAAGAGGGGTAGCAAAGTTTATTCTGTTTTCCTTCTACTTTATGGTCTGTGATCTGTGCTGTCCTAGCAATAGCTCTTCTATGCATCTGATACCCACTGCTCTGTAGGTAAACCCTGCAACGTTATCTCCTCCCTAGAAGACATGAGACCCCATATCCCATGCTTAGAGGCCTTATACTGCCACATTCTTCTCTGGCCTCTTTCTCCTGATTTCCTTGAGATCCATGCTTTTCTGGGAACCCTTCTGGCAGTTTCCTCAAACTTCTCCCTGTGGAATGATGAGCATATAAAGAAGGGTAAGAACCATGCTACACACTCCATGCAGATCTGAGGTGGGATGAAGCTTTGAAGAGCAATCATTGCCCAGTCCCATAATACCTATGATATAGCTTCAGTGGGCTCATTTTGGAAGGGGCAACATACCCTGGAATCTGCTCCCCCAGCTTTCTGATTTCTGGGCCTTTATGTCTGGGTGTCTGTGCCACCCAAGATAAAAGAGGATACACTTTTTTGGCGAGAATTCGGACATTTGGGCACTTCATCCTGTGTTGAAGGCTCTCACTTTGCTAACAACTTGGAAACCCTTCTTTTCTCAGCCTGTGTACACACAGGGCTGAATGCCAGTAATGTACAAGCAACGCGCTTCACTCATCAGACCAAAGTCAAGGCAGGGTGGCCCCATCGGACACAGATTTAAAAAAAGATATAACTGGAGTCAGTTTATTTGAGGCAAGAAAACACAATGTTGGCATCCTTAGGTAGGGTTTACCCAAACATTTGGACGGGGAGAGGTGTTAGTAATGAAGTATTCCAAGCGAATTTTTTTTTCTTTCTCTGATAGTAATTCAGGCAGTTTCTTTTGTTACAGAGAAAGATAAATCCCAAAGTGGAATTTCTTGCCTAATGTAACTAAATTCTTGTACTCCCCTTGCCAGTTATTGTGAGCCCAGTATAAACTGTATGTACCTTTAAAAAAACAATCCATAATGAAAGAGCTGGCTCTGTAATCAATTTCTCATCCTATTAAAACAACTTGCAAGACCCAAAGTAATGACTAGCCACACAGTTCAAAGGGGTAGGAGTACTCGTGCCCCAGAGGCTCAGACTCTTCTCCCCATACTACAGCCTACCGTGGGTCCTCAGTAAGGGTCTGTGAATTGTGCCAGTGAGGTGAGTAACCTTCTTTTACTTCAGTCCTGGTGCTGGTGCCTGAATCTTAGTAGCATGATTAGGCTCATAATGTGTTTTGTTATTAAATGTGAAACACTTCACCCAATTTAATCAATTTTGTCAGTCAGATGCTACCCTTTTCTTTTTGATGTGTTGGAGTTGAGGTACCAATTTGATAGAAGCCAAATAAATGCCAAATCTAGACAAGAAAAGGTTATTTTGTAAGATCCATCCTGCAAACACTAACCAAACCCATCATCTGATTTACAACAGAAGATGTTATCCAGAGTTCTGAAAAGGAAGATGCTTGACACTTCAGGGAAATCAAATCCCAAGGTGTTTCTTAAATTGGAAGTTGGCGGATGAAGCAAGTTAAAAAGAACAAACTGTGTATATCATGGCTAAACACCTGCTAGGCAGGGAATCTGATATAATAACTGTCTTCAGAAATTGGCTTTGAAGGAGGTAAACCCCAAGGGCTGGATGGTAGCTTTATGTCATAGCTCACGGCTGAAGTGACAGCCCTGCTATCTTTTGATGGGGTACAGAGCAGACTCTGCATCAGCTCAGCTTTATTAGCTGGTAGGTGCTGTGGTCTGGTCCTGCCACTTTTCAGCTGGCTAGTGTTGCTGGTTGCATTAGCGTTAGGGAGAGCAGACTAGAATTATGCCTGGCCCCCAGGAAAGAGCGCTACATGGCAGAAGACTTGTGCCTTTTTCTCCCTCAGTGCAGAGACATACAGAAGCAGCCAGAATAGATTTAAAGGCAATGTACTGTTTGTAAGTTTTCAGCAGGAAATAATGAGCGTGGCTTTCAAACTGATCTGTAGAGATGTTCCCACTGGTGGTCTATAAGTTGTGCCTAATAACCAAGCAGTGCAGGACTGAATAGTCGGGAGGGCAGGTGACTTCATTAGGGTGTTTGTGTTTTCTAAAATGGTTTAAAGAAACCAGTGCGATGGCTTCACTTTGACTTGTGAAAGATCAAATCCAGAGGCATCATATATGTACAGGACAGGCTTTCCTTCTTCTGTGTGCTACTTCTTGTCTCCATGGCCCCATTACATAGCCTCTGAGCACCTGGCATTCCTTTAATATGTTTTTCTTCACAACACACACTAGCAACAGCAAATGTCCTGAGTGCTAAATCACCTTCCTCTCTGCAACACAAAGTTTGAAGACTGACAGATTTACAGAGCTAGCTAATGCTATTTGGTGTATTATTTATTAGTGTGTCATGATTTTCTTGGTTATGCTTGCTTGTGGCTCATTCCCATTCTACTCTGTGCTATTTCAGGCCTAACAAATTGTCTATTCGGAGCAGCACTCTTAGTGATTACTCCAGCTTGAGTGATTCTCAGTTCCTTTTTGGTTCCCAGTTCTGTCCAGAGAACTCGCAGCCTGCTTCAGGACCCCATGAGTTTGGTGCACTCTCAAGACAACCAAGAAGCTCCCAGCAGAACTCTCAGGATGTGAGTCAGATTCTCCAAAATGTTCAGCTAGCCCCATACAAACTAAGGGGAAGCATTAACCATTCTAAAACAATTATATATGCTCCATGTATCTACTATATAACCTAATAAGATCCCAAGTCTCCACAACACAAATATTAATATGTATACCATTCAGCAAATTGCTGGCTACTGTCGAAATGATAATATTATATATATATATATATATATATATATAT